AAAAATATAAACTAAATTGTAGTAGAAAGACAGCAGAGAAAAAGGATCAACTGCCACAATTTATTGCTGTAGTTTAAATGGTGCGGCAACTTTAACATGGTAGCAGAGACAGGGTACTTATAGCAATATTATTCTTGTTAGAGCACTGCACTGTCAGAGAAAACAAAAGCTCATTCACAGATGTTAAATATAGTAGAGAAAATGTAGGGAACTGATTTGTACATCATGGCAAAATGGGATATCCTCCCCTTTCCTGTTATGATCCATACTGGAACGTAACAGACAACTACTGAATGTGGCCCACTGTTCCAAAGTAAGATTAACTGAGATGCTCCATGGCAAGCAAATAAATTTGTTTCCAGTGAAGTAACTATTCTTATAGAATGTCACTCCTTCTCACAGCATTAAGAGACAGGTATGGCATTCAATAAAATGCGGTTTTTATTCCTGTGTTCTTGACATGAAGAGATATATGACTTACTCAGCTCCTTTGAATTATAAGCTCTGAGATCATGGGGTTTTTGTTTGTTGTTTCCCTTTTTTAAGGAAAAAAAAAGAATGCCATCACTGTCACTATATAGTAGCTAAGTGACTAGAAAAAAATGGGAATACTATTTTCCATTCAGTGTAACCCTGTGCAAGTATCTGAAAGAGTAGCTATTCATATAAAGTGCCCAGAAATATTGCGGTCTTTGTTTCTATATTTTCAAAAGCTAATCCTACCTACATCTGAGGTACTCAAGCATGTCTATAGCAACTATGTGACAAGAGATCCAAATATGACAAGAATTATTATCTGAAAAGAAAAAAGAGAATCTATAGCTCTTTGTAACATCTAATATTCTTTAGCATTTCAAGTAATTAGCAGCTTATTTCAAAAACATTTGAATAGTTAACAGATTTGATAACTATGGTTAATCCTCATTAAAATTACGATTACAAGATATAATTACATGTAAATAAGAAAAATGAATTCAATAAAACTCTTACCCTTTTCAATGTTGGGCACTATGTTGGGAATCATACAGTACGTACAATTAGATTTATACTGCTAAGCTAAAAATATTGGTGAAGATCTAAAAATGACGAACAGTGCCTTTTAAATTAATGTCTTATTAGTTGAGTGAAGTACACTGACAAAGAATAATTTATGCTTATTCAAACTGCTCTCGACATCTTCAGGTGTTTCCAAATGAGCTCACAGAAGAGTGATTAAATGCATCTGATAACAAGCCACACATTGCTGAAATTACTTACCGCCTCATTTTATGATTAATTAAACATGTAGATTAAAGTTGCAAAAGAATTTAGATTAATGAGCAAGTTAAGTCTTGCTGATATAAGTGAATTGGGAATTGGATGCTCTGTGGAACTTTATAAACATGCATTTTATAATGAGTAAGACAAGGCTACATGTTGAATCCTGGCCACAAGGGCCTTTGACGATGCAGTCTTTTTTAACATGGTTTGACAGCTTTCAAATAACATTCTACTACAGACTTTAAACTTTGTGCATTGCTGTAAAACATGAGGCTACATAACTCATGTATTAGGAGTACGATTATTTCAAAGCTCTCCAAGGTAATGACCCCCTGTAGCAGCAGCTGTTCAGAAAAATTACAAGCTCGATTGTTATTTTAATCAGAGAGAGTTTAGTAGTTAAAAGCAGTTATGCAACTAGTAAAATTATATGACACTTCATCAGCAGCCTTATAACATCTTTTGTATCCTTGTTCCTCTCCAATTCCCCCATCTAAAACCTTTGGTCTTATTAGTAAAACAGGGTGCTTAGTCATTCATGAAAAATTCAAAGCCATTTGTTAAGCCTGGTTTCTGTGCAAGGCAAGGTAACGTTTAAATTTATGATGATTCTTATCAGCTCCAACAGCATGTCAAAATATCTGCTAGGTTTGCCAACTGTCCAATTTTTCCTCTTTTAAGATCTGCTATACCTAATCCACATAGCTTAGTCAGTGTCAGAAAGCCAAGTTGGACTTTATGACTTTGCAGGGCAAAAACAAATCAGATCGTTAATAGAGATGTACTACACTTCTCACAAGAATGCTGAAACTGAAGCTACTGAACTAACCTTATGTTCATGTCACCTCTACCAGATTTCACATTCTATTGCACAGTGCCATTGCACAGAGCCATTGCACAAAGCTACTCTTGCAGACTCACCTGAGATGGCTGGTTACATTTAAACCATCCAGTTTTAAACTGTCCTATTTTAGAATGTAGGTACAGCTCAGCTTCCTTGCTCTGCCTGTATCCCTACAATTTATGTTATAACTTGAAAATGTCAAAGCTCTACACATACACAGAAAGAAAAAAATCAGCAAAGAAAACACTATACAAGAACCAAATTTGGTCAAGTTGCAAATTCTAGATATTGACCTCAGATTATCTACATGTGCTCATCTTTTCTGAGAATACATATCAACAGAAATACAATGTCTTCTGCTGTAAGATTTACAGCAGAACATGTAGTTTGAATATTTGGACTTCTTCCCAATTCACTGTAGCACAATTCTGAAACTTCAGGTGGATCAATAGGTGTATCACTTAAAACACTGAGGCTACTAGTTCCTACTTACTATTTTAGAACATCACCCTGCATTGAAAATGTATTCATTAAGAATCATGACTTTCACCTGGTTAATTAAAGTTGGTACTCAATATGTCATTTAGGGCCAGGCCTGTCTCATGTCCAGATAACCATCTTCTATCCCGTCTGTTCTATTTCCTAGATGACTACGAGCTCTTAGTAGACAGTTTTTCTGGGTGATATATTTGAAAGCATCTCTAAAGAAAAAAATAACAAAAAATATATTTTACATGCAATATGACAGTTTTTAGACTGCATTCTTTGCATTTGCTAACTAACCCTGCCTGAGAATGCTCATTTTAGCACTACCTGCTAGAGTCACCAGCCTTTTTTCAGAAGATACAGCTCTTTTTCTTCACTGCACTTTGGTTTAGTTGTGTAAAAGCATAAAACTATTAAAATGTAGTAAACTTCACTTGTAGTTAACTAAATTGTCAAAAAGGAAAATATGAATGCATTTGTATGTTTTAACTTTCAAAATGCTAAGACGTTTATGCACGTCTATTTCAGTCCAGGACAATTATGTTCTGCTTTAAACACACTCCTGCTATTGAAATTCAGTATACTGCAGAACAAGTCACAAAATATAAACTGAAACAATTTTTCTTCAACACATGCTTGAAATGCTCAGGATAAAGAGTTGGTTGGTTTTTCTTTTACCCTTCAAGCAGTGAAAAAAATAAGTTTAAAGTCAAATAAAATGGTTTACTTTGATTCAGTAAATGCAAGCCGAAGGTTATTCCGCAGTAGTGTTAGAAAGTTGTTTTTATAATCTTTGCTATTCAGCAGAACAAAATCTCACAGCAGGTATTACTGCAGATTATTTGATACCAGATACCAAAGACATATCTGATATCCTTAATTATTTGTGAAATTCATTGTGTGCAGACAATTTTCTATCTAGTGCAGTGCTTCCATGCATTTTTCCGCTTCTCTGTCACAGAAATTTAACGTATTCTACTGACAGAAACTTACTGAATGCTTAGATGAAGTAGAACAGACTGGTACATAAAATCTTCAGGAACAAATATCCTGAAGGTTTTAGGAACACATTACAGGATAAAACAAAGAAGTGGCAACCTGTCACCCAGCTCAGAGCCCAAGGCAAGAAGCTTATGAAAAGGTCACATTTCTGCTTGGCATTATGAATTTAAAAATGAAAGAATATATTTTCTTTCGGTACCTTTACTATTCTCCAGAACACAGAGGTTTCCCACTAAAGACATCTCCTAGATTATTTGCTCACAGGGCAAACCAATGCTACACCTGTCACCATCACCACATTACACTGAAGCAGTTTTCTAAACAGTATAAAGAGAAGGAAATGGAGAAAGAGTGATCTGGTCTTCACTGACAGACAAGGCTTCAGAAAAAACTACACAAAAAGTAGATAGCTGATTAAACTTTGAATTGGTCAGTGGGCAAAGCACGATTTGTCCTGCTTTCAACAGAAATCTTGTAATGGATTTTAAAAGATCCTGAAGAACGTTTTCAAATGCCTCAATGAATAAGAATTCTCATTCCTGTTTTTAAAAGTGACTTGGATTCTTAGAAGCGTAGTTACTATAAACTTTCAGCAGGACTTAAACTTGTAAGAGGAATTGACTGGAAATTTTCACCTAAGCTAGCAATCCGTAAGGAAACATTACGGCCACAAATCTGTATATTCTGCCCTCAATCTTTTGCTAAACGTAAAGCAAAAAAAAAAAAAACCTGAGAAATGCCTGCTGAGATTTCTGGCAGAAATTCCCGGTCATGAAGAGTCCTGGGATGGTCTATTGTTGAGTTCATCTGCAGCAGGTATCTGAAGCATCCCCTAGATATGCACAGTGAAACTGGCATTCTGAAAGTGATACTGCAGCTCATAAGTCTTCAGATGCTTTAGAAGTGTTCTGGAATAATATTCTTCTGCAGCCAAAAACTGAGACCACTTTTAACTGTGCATCTACTTTTCCCCAGTAAGCAGGTTAAAATTCTTATGTTACTAAGACACAAAAATTAAAACATGTAGATGAAACATAAAGATATACAAGAACTGTAATAAATATTTTGCCCTGGAGATGTGCCAGTGGAAAATGTTGCTAACTTGTCCATTTCTTCAAGAAGAGTATGTCCAGCAAATCCCATCTATAATAGAATGATATATTTTCACAGACAGAAAGGGAGACTGCTTCAAAGCTATCAGTCAGAGCTGACTACAGAGCAGGATCCTCCTACTCAGCTGTTCTCCAGAATTAGATCTTTCCAAGATGTAAATAATGAACAAAAAAACTCAACTGCAGAATTAATGAAATTAACTCTGATTTATAGTCCATATCTAATTTGCACACATCTTCTATTGTAAGAAAACAAGCACTGAGAATTAATACCTTTTTTCTTTTTTTCCTAACAGTAATTGCACAGAAGCACTGCTAATGGTTGTACCAAAGACTTTCCTGGCTTCTGTGTATCCCATACTGCTTTACAGAAGAAATCAAAGAGGTAAAACAGTTTGAGATTAATTGTTTCAAAAGAAGAAGCCTTCCCACTGTAATACAGAACAAATGAAGAAATCTTAGCTGGAAGGAATTAGGGAGTTGCCTTTTAAGTCACCATACTAACGTATGAAACAGATATAAAATTCTCATGCTGGTAGAGCTGGCCTGCATCCAGAATTGATGGAAGGAATGTTAACAGAGGAATAAGCCCAATACATACCCCCAAAAAATGGACAGAAATATGTACATGTGCCAGTGGCACATGAAGACAGATAGCCCAAAGAATGCTCAGATGATATTTGACATCACTAGCACATGATAACAGACTGCATTATATTTAAATATAAGAACGGGATGACATGTCTCAGCTTCCAAAGCTCATCATGCAGGAGATTTTCTCACTTAGCTTCTATATCCATCTTCAATTAGCCTTAGGCATCTCCCCAGGAAAGTGTAAAAACAGAGAAAAAATAAGGATCATCTACATATTTTATTCCATGAGAAAATTGGCATTTTTATCAATTTTCTTAGATGAAATGATGCAAAAGATGACTTCACAAAAGTAATTTTGATATAGTTTAGAGGTAATAAAACTAAGTTTAGATTAGCAGAATTAAACTAATTCTAATGATCTTGTAATCCTGTAACCATGGAAAGCAGAGGCTAAATCACATGGTTGTTGGATATTATTATGCCAATACAGATTCATCCTGTTAAAAAAATAAAGCAACTACCTTATACACGTACACACACACACACACAAACACAAACAATATGTATATATATATACACACATATATAACAACCATATTGTTCCCCTGGCAATAAAGTATCTGTCTGGATGATACTCTCTTATCAGAGATCCAACACATTCACATTTGTTTTACTGGGTTTCTAGAATAACGTCATTTAATGAACTATGGCTTCAGCCTGTGACTGTTGCCAAAGTGTTTTGTCACTCAAAATTCAACATTTTCTCAATTTAGCGTATTTAACTGCAATGATCATTATCCTTGACCAGACTCAAAATAACATTCAAAAAAAGGATTCCAGAACTTTATATACAAGCTTCCAGTGTTAGAGAACTGTGAGTAGAATTATCTTTTCTCCCCTTCTTTTAAAGAATCTAGAACATAGCCTTATTTCAAACAAATTAAAAAAAAAAAGTAGGGTACGGCATTCAGATATCCTGGTGATAATTTCCACAGTAGGTATTCATAAATGGCTAACAAGAAAGTTCAGTAGACCCATGGATTCTTACATAATTGTTTTTCAGGGTCTGTCATCTTACACAAATGAGATTACAAAATTATTTATTAAAAAAAAAAAAAAAAACGGATTCCAAATGAACTCGTTGTTCAATTATCCTTCCAAAAATCAACATTTTGAAGTAACACTTAAGTCTAGATCTTCCTTTTGTCTTGTGAACTGATCATATGTATATACGCAAAATCTAGCATATAAATGCTCGTTATATTCAACTGAAAACAAAAGAGAAAAATGTTATGGAGGAGCAATCCCTGTTGCATGTTACTTGTTGTGTATTGTTGTTTTTTTAAGCCAGCTGATTCTGCTCTCTACGGTGTGTTCAGATAAAATTGTGTTTTATCATTCTAGAAAGCCACACCCTTTCTGTGTATAACAGAAATTCAGTCTCAATGGATCCCACAACAATTCCATGGAGATACTAAACAGGACCAAGAAGAAGCATGGTGTTGTCAAGTACTACAGATGAAAGTTCTGGCAGCAAAGAACTAGACATCCACTGCGTGTCACAGTGGATTTTCAACATACTTCCATTTCAACATATTTCCATTTCTTCCTGGGATTGGTTGAATCGAAGAGCGTGGCAACCAAATATATGTCTCTGCTTAGAGAGAATTAATAGAATGAGAATGGATTACTTCCCTTATTTTATGGGCAGGAAATTCTGTACCTTTACAGGCTTAAGAGCCAACTGCGAAGGTCACAGGATTCAAGCAATTCAGTGTTATTATTGTGGACCCATCGCTACTTTTCTGTTAATTTGCTTCAGAGTAAACAAGCGAAATATGTATATGTATCTCCCCATACACAACATTTACAAATGAAAGATAACCAGACATTCAAATACATTTGACTGCAAGTAGGTTGTCTAAAACTCTAAAAGACACTGATGTTTTTGATTTATGCATTTTTCTTAAGAGGAAGGACAAGAAAGGTCATGCCAGTTTGTGTTTGCAGGACTACCAATGGATCGGATGTTTAGAAAGAGTGAATTGTGTAATGGGGTTCATGAAAAATTGTAAGGAAAGCAGAACTAAAAGAGTAAGCAGGAGTAAAAAGTAATTATTACGTTTGCATCAAAACCTATGACCCCTTATGGGGCACTCTGAGGTCAAAGATATGTTTAGAAAACAAGGGTGGAAATAGCAGAAGGAAACTTCAGTACTGTTAAATCCAGGAAGTTTTCCAGACTGGGGGAGCTAGGAGAACGATATTTAAATTTAGTAAAAGCCCTATGAACTTTATCACCACATTAAGCAGCAATATTTACTTATTTATTTTTAACTTCTCTGAGAAATCTTTTGTATTTGGAACTCTGTAGATTAAAAGGATGCCCAAACTTATTTGGGAGTATAGAAACAGGACTAAGTGGCTATTCTCAAAAGATTGTAATTCAATAGACCTCTTGGATAGGAGCTTGAATAGGAATATAATGACTACTCCACTTCATCATCTAGTATCTGTTAAAGACATTTAAATACTTCCTTAGTAATATTACTTCCTCTGGTTACAACAACTGCAGACTGAGACATCCTGGGAAAATATTCTCTTATCTATAGAGCCTCTGTTTTTCTGTTACTATGAAACTTCTGTCCTTCATTAACATTCAAATCACCTTCTTTCTCTGCAGCTGGTGGAGATGCACTTCACTTTTTTGTCCTAGCAGTGATATAGCAGAACCTTTAACTAGGAATGGGATGTCTCTGGAATCACCTTCAGTCTTTAACATTTATGAACTTTGGTTTGCTAGAAAAACAGAGGCGTGTACTGTAGATAGCTATAATTAGAAATCATTCTTTTTTCAGGGAATTTATTTCTTGATTTTAGAACATTTTTTTGGAACGTACTGGCTATAAGCACTGCATAACAAAATGTATCTGGTGAGATAAATATTTTCTTGTATATATATTAATATTCTCCCTTCCACAATATGTTGTTTTCACACTTCACTCAAAAATATACTAACTGTTATAATCCTATTTCTGTATCCCTAACTTTGAAGAAAGAACAGTTTAGGACAGCAGAATTCAAGACTTCTTTTGGCACTGCCTATTAGGCTTAGAATGTGGTTTTGCAAACAGATTTGAAACATCATCAAAGAGATCTGCAGCTCGGTCAGAATTAGGAGAGGAATTGAAAGGTAGATTTGGACTGAAAACCAGGTTACTTAGCTGAGTCAGAGAGCTAAAGTCTATGTCCGTTCCTTTTAATAACATCACTTAGGCCTTCCCTGGACAGAATTACATATGTATGACTTATTTCAGTGCCTTTTTACATGCACAACTGTGTGGCAGGAGTGAAATGCCTGCAATCACAATTGGTTATTTGGGAACTCCTAACACCGGGGTTAAATATCTATTATCCAAATATACAAGCAATCTGGGCCATTTTCAACAATAAATATTTAATTAATAAAGAAAAAGTTTAATATATTTATTTTCAGTGACATTCCCTCAATATTCGCAACTGGCTTAAAATGCAGAATTATTTCTAGATCTGGATCTTAAGTTATGCTAGCTATACCTATTCTGTTTCGGAGTTATTAAAAGTTATTTTCTTCACTATTCATTTTTCTTTTTTAAATGCAAAAATAATCTTCTTCCATTCTTTTCAGTTTGTAACACTGCATTTGTGGCTATGGTCAATAACAGTAACATTGCTATTCAATTAGCAATGAATGGTCAATCACTATTTACCATTTGTTCTTCTTCAATTTGGAGAATTTGTGCAACTGCTGGGTAAAAGGAAGATCTTTTAAACAAAATTTAACAGAATCAGCAGCTACATTTGAAAAAGCTTCAGCTTTTTAATATTTTTCTGTTTGGTATCTGTACTTATTGGTAATATTCTCAGGTCTTATTTAAGTCTGCAGTTTAATTTACTGTATTTGATCTGAAAAAAAATTCAAAAAGCTGACAGATATTAAGAGAAATAACATAAAGCTGCTGTATTCAAAGTACTGAAAGCATTTCTTTCATGAACACTGACAGCACTATTTATTCTGAAGGACAAAAATATGAACAAATATTACACAAATATAACTTTGAAAATGTTTTTTCATAGCCATATAGATGCACAATTCTCTGAAATTCTGACTGGCCAGAAAAGAGGCCTTATTTCTACAAAACTTTTATCTGAAAATAAGTTTTTGATGCAAAATTATGAACAATGGTGGTGAGATGAATAAATAAAGCATATAATTTACATTGTGTATAAAATATGCAGAAACCTGGATCCTTTACAAGCAGTAAGACATTTTCTAAAGGTTGCAAGAGGAGTTGGAGTCATATCTCTATAGTTTAAAACAGCACTTAGTGCAAGAAGAAATGCTTACAGGCGTGTTTATAAGTGTGATAATAACTGTAATTATTGGAATCAGTGTTAGAGCCATTCCTGGAGACTTTCACTAACCCCTATTTTGGGCACCAGACTTTGCCTTTCCTGATAGGAGAGTAGTTTAAAAACATTAAATAGTTAATCAAAAATTAAGTAGGGAAACCAAGATGAAACAACCTGCTCAAAATCATTAACTGGGCCAGGAGCAGTAACCATTCAGCCTATTGCAGGTCAACTTATATGCAGCCTTTGAAGGGTTTGTGTTTTCTTAACTCCGAACACTCACAAAAAGGGATCCTCTCTACGTGCTCAAATTTAAAAGAATCTGAACAGCCATGGGGAAAGACATGTAGAAAAAATATATCAGTGTTGTACGTAGCTAAGTACACCAAAGATATGTACGTACTCCTAAGGAGAAACAAGCACACACAATTTGATCCCTCCTATCTTTACTAATTCAAACCATAAAATTAGTCTCTAGGATATAGCCTCCCATTCGTTTGCAGGTGCAGCTCCCCTGAATGCTAATGTCGATCACATGTGCTTACAAAGCAAAGCAAATTCCCCTAAATTCCAATAGGCTGGACAGAACAACATTTCAAAAAAGCAGCTGTCGTTGGTAGTGTTCAAGTTTATTGGCAATCCTTAAAAAACTGCATCCAAAATACATACTGTATCTGATCTCAAGTTAAGAAGGCTTTTCTCTGAAGAGTACTGAATCACTTTAATGTAGATTCTAATGCTGCCTTACTCCACTTTCAAGGTAGCTAGTAAATTCAGCTTTACTACAGTACTATAAAGATGTGAAAGAACTGTAATAGCATCTAAAAATGAGCTGTTACCACTATACTGTTCAGTTTAGAAAACTCTAAACAGAATACTGATGAAAAATGTTAATGTTAGTTTGCTGAGTTGCCAAGTGGAATAAGACAATTCACTATATTTTTCTTATAAAAAGCAAATTATAATGACTTTAAAGAATCCAGCATATCACCAAGGACTAAAAGAATGATCTAAACAACATTATATTTCAGTTATTTAATTTTTAAAAAAGAGCTACCAACAACCATATTTATATAATCAGTACCACTGAGTTCTCAGCATTCACAGGATTTTAAACTCCTGCAAATTCCTGTTAATTGTAATGAAATACCTCAAAGTGCTTTAAGCACCGTGTTGGATTAGGGCCTCAACCACATATGCATTTACCTCTGAACAGTTTGAGTTAGATCACCAATACAGTCTCAATAGACTGGTTAAGTAATGACACTCAAACTGTTCTAACGGTATAAAATGGAAGAAATTAACCTTACATTTCTGATCCTTTAGCTTCTGTACCCAGGCTTCTGAATCTGAATTTCAAAGCAGAAAAAGGAATCATTTCTTTCTTGGACAATGGTAATGAAATTTTACAACCCCAGCACAACCCCAGATTCTGTAGACCAGGTCGTGGCATCACCTCAGTCCTAGAACTCCAAAATGGCACAGAAGGTGCTAGAAATGGTGAAAAGGGTAGGCAGTGTATCCCCTGGCATCTCTGCATGGCAGCTGGTGAAACAAAACAAAAATCAGATCGCTGCCTAGAGAGTCTATTGGCAACTCTCAGTTGCATCTGGAAACAATGGCCCATCAAAGCTAACTACATATTGTTAATATCCCTACCTAATCCAGGCAGTGGGAAAGAAAAGTACAAATTCCTCTAGCTAATCTTGTTAACTTCCAGCCACACACATCTTCAGTTTTCTACTTCCTGTCAGACATTACCACTGCTAAAGCAGCTTCCCAATGCTACCACAGACCTCATCTGCAGCCAGGTTCCGGCTGAGGATGCACTCATGCTGCCAGAAGGCTTTTACCCTCATCTCCTCAAAACACAGAAGCTAAGGAGACTTTGTTTCCTGCTCCCATCTTGCCAGCCTGCAGAGAAATTAGGGTAGTGCAGAACATCCCTACATGAAAATACTGGGGGCTGGGAAACATATTTCTGAGGGCTAGATTATGATTTTTGTGATACAGATTTTTTCAGCTACTGGGTTCTAAGCCTGCACAGTCTTATACTTGCAGCTATTGGCAAGTTTGACATTTTAAACTATGAAATACCAACCTATTTTGAAATTGTCCAAATCATTAGTTGTGGAATTTTCCTAGCACTTCATGAATACCACTGTTAATTGGGCAATTAACTCAAAACTACAGAATATGCTGTGATGGCATGATATGATATAAGCCATGTAAAAGAAGGAACAGCCAAGCAACTCAGTATGTTGAAAGATATTAATGAAGTGGCAAAATCTGCCAGAAAAATAATAATGGGTGATTTTAACTACCCCAATATTAACTGGTTGAATAACACATCTGTACATGGTTTGGAGAAGCAGCTTATTGATACTATAAATGGCTTCTTTTTGGAGCAGCTCCTTCTGGAGCATAGAAGAGGAGGAGTTCCACTCAGTTATTAATTTATTTGTGTGTGTTTGTGTTTGTGTGAGAAGCAAGCAAGGGTGTTCTGCTAAGCAACAATGGCTATGGGACAATGATGTTTGAATCTCAATGATGAAGTACTCGAGTGGTAACCAAATAGTTAATGGCAGGTGGGTGAGGAAAAAAACCATAAAAGAAAGCAGCCATCTCAAACAGAAGGCTGTTTTGGAGGAATGAAGGAGCTTATTCGCACTCAGAAACAAACCTCTACAGAGGTAAGGAAAAAAATTGAAAGAGAAAAACAAAAAAAGCTGCTGTAGCCTTAAAAAGCACTCTTCAAATGCATGAACTCTGCCTAAGTGTTTTTAAGAGGACAGAACATCGATTATTGTTGTAGCTCACTGCTGAATGTTGCACAATCTTAAATCTATACTGTGACCTGTGGCAATAAGAAAGTACATATTCAGTTTAAAAGAACTGACTGGAAAGGAACTAATTATTATATTTTGTTTCAATAACTGCATAATTATTCAAGTAAATTAGCCAGTGAAGAGGATGCGCATGTACAAATTTGTACAAATGTACAAATCTAGGAATCTGGAGTGTGATTACACAGGTCCTGCAGTTCTTTTGTTGCAGCAAAGCGTAACAGAATACACACGAGCATTCCTGATCATATTTCACAATCTGGAGTTTTAAGAATCTATTAGTGTCTCCTACTGGACCAGAATCCTGGAGTGGGCAGCAATCAGTACCTAATATTTCAGAGGGAAGTAAATATGCTTCTATTCTTATCAAACAAATCGCTAGGCAAAGGACTCCATTCTAACCAGTTTCTACTTCTGACAAATATAGATATACTGTCAGGCTCTAATGAACTTAGTAAGGACGTATAAGGACTATTTACTCAGATGGGACATCACCTGAATATATAAGCTACAAAAAAAAGCCAGTAATCTCA